AATAAGATCTAAACTAGAGTATAATTCGGCCTAGTAGGAAAAACGACTATATAAACCTAATCTCTATAATAGCTTATTAGGCAGATTTTTAATATCCTTTCGTATAAGGCCTATAGGTGTCTATTTGAATTAAGGCTCGTTTGATGTCCCACGCACTCCCATATGCCTCTGAGTGACACTACCGTTGATACTGATCCGAGTAGTCTTGCCTGCGCCGTTACAATAACTAACTATATACTTATAATTATATTTTCATTTTAATTTAGCTAATTTAATCTAAACTATATTCTATTAATTTAACTATTTCTATATAAAATCTTATTTTTTACTAGTTAACTAATTATTAAAATATATCTTAGTTATATTATATTAATCTTCTATAGTTATTATATTATTAATTTAAATACTACTACTTCTACTACTACTGCTACTAATATTACTAGTAATACTGCTGCTGTTACTACTACTATTAATACTACTATTACTACTACTGCTTCTGCTGCTACTGCTGCTAATACTGCTGATGCTGCTGTTGCTATTATTGCTATTATTGCTACTATTCCCGCTGTTGCTTCTGCTGCTGTTGCTAATGCTACTGCTGCTGCTGTTGCTGCTGCTGATACTGCTGCTGCTACTGCTACTGCTGCTACTGCTGCTACTGCTGCTACTGCTGCTACTGCTGCTTCTGCCGCCTTTGCTGCCACTGCTGCCTCCGCTGCCCTCGCTGCTGCTGCTGCTGCTGCTACTACTGCTGATACTACTACTGCTGCTGCTTTTACTGCCTTTGCTGCTTTTGCTGCTACTCCTATAGTATTACTACTCTACTGCTTCTGCTAGTATAGCTTCTACTACTACTGCAACCCCATTACTTACTACGCTACCTAGTACTCGCTGACTATACTTCTGCCTAATGCACTGCCCAAATCTTCTATCGCTACTCTCTCTACTTTCTGCTACTAAAATACTATACCCTCTCTACCTAACTACCATATCTACTCTATCGCCCTCTAGCTGCTTTTTAGCTACTGCTGCCTCTCGTAGCCCGTATAGCACCCCCACTACTACATTATTCTAAATACACTTCTGCTGCTGCTGCGCCTGCTGCTGCTCGCTGCTCTCCTATTTGCATAGCTTCTGTATCATCTCACATTTCTAGCATATATCTACCTCCTTGCTATAGTAGATCCACCGCCGCACGCTATCTAGCTGCTACTGCACACTCTTACCTCTCTCTGCTAGCCGCTAGCACTCCTACACGCTATGCTTAGCTATCTGCTCTTCTTCTATCCGCTTCGCACTGTGCTCTCTACTAAACATCTTATATAGTATCCCCCAGTAGTATAGGCATATCTACTGCGCTAGCTCGTTCAGCTTCGCCCGTACTACCCTCTCTTGCACTGCCTATAGCTGCGTATCTACTTACTACGCTACCTACCCGCTTCTATTAGACGCAGCTATAGCTATAGCTATCTACTATATAGCTTACTATATACTACCTATTCTGTGCTAATTATAGTTGTCGCACCACGTAACTACTTAACCTACTATAGTCTCTTCTAGCTACTTATATAATACCTTAGTACTATCTATATATTAACTAATTAGTCTTCGTTAATAGCTACTTGTCTATATTAGCCTTTCTATCGCCTAGCTATTATCTATCTCTTTACTATCGTCCGTCTCCGTCTCCGTCTTATCTACCTCCGTCTCATCTACCTCATCTGTCTGCTACTACTACTGCTGCTCTTATCGCACTCGCTGTGCCCGCTGCTGCCCGCGCTGCCCGCGCTCTTCTTCTGCGACTGCTAGCACTGCTGCCCTGCCCTACCCTCGCGCTCTCCCACTCTCCTGCACAAAATCAACTATACTCTATAGCTATTCTATATGCAGCGTAAACTCTACCCCCGTAATATCAACTCCTACTCCTAGCGCTAACGTACACACAATTAAACCACTATACTACCGCTACTGCTCTAGTATCGTCGTACGAGAAGCTACGCCCGCGTAATAGCTGCTGCAGTCTAGCGCTGCTACCATCTCATTACAGAGCTGTCAACTGCGGCAGTACACAATCCCTTTAGCGCACCTGTCTTCTATAGCTGCTATAGCTATAGCCGCTATATAGCTCTGCCTATAAGCCTCTTCTACCTCTCTCATCAACCTACGCGCTTGCTGCACGCCCTGCTCAAGTAGCTAATCTCGCGAGCAATAGTAGACCGCGTACTACGTATTACATCGCTGCGTACTTCTTACTCGAACTATTATAGCGGTAGGTATTAGCAGCTTCTACTATAGCTGCCTTTCAAGTAACGGAGGCAGCGTAGCAGTTAGTAGTACTAGCTGGCACAATAGAAGCCACAAGTCCTTAAGCCGCGCGAGCTTTGGCCGCCATAGGTCAGCTGTAATAGCCACATAGCACTCGTCCACTACTACCCATCGCAGTATCTGCTGCTGAGCGAGCAAAGCTGCGTACGATAGAAAGCTGCCGTTAGAGCTACTAATATAGTCAGCACTTACTACCACTACGCTAGCTAATCGACTGCGGCGCTGTAGCTTGCCTGCCTCGCCTAGCTACTACTTAATAGCTTAGATCTTTGCTTATGCAAGCCGTACTAGCATGTCCTTAATTAACGCCTAAAATAGGACGACGAGAATCATTACGCTCAGCCTATCTACTTACTAGCTATAATTAAGAATAGCAGCAGTAAAAGGCAGAAGTATCTTACCTCCCCCTATAGGTAGAACGACGATAAGAGGACTTACGCCTTATATAACAGCGTCTAGCCCTTACTTCTAGTCTAGCGATTTATAGGTAACTAGCTAATTAGTAGAAATATATAGTACCTAGCGAACAGCCTATATAAGCTGCTCTTCTATTATACGCGTGTTAGCCTGGCACGCCTGCGTTAGCTTAGCTCTCTTCGCCGCTTGCTGCTGCGCAGTGTTAGGCTAGAGCTGCGGCTGTAGCTGCGGCTATAGCCGTGTTGAGCAGCTTAGGCAGCTCAGCGACTGTGTCCGCTTTCTTCTTTACTCTCCCGCTGCTACTTCTGCGCCCGCTGCTACTGCTAGTAAACTGCTTAGCTTAGAAGGTAGCCTAAGAAACGCGTGCTACGCTAAGCTTAGCGTATAAAATACGTTAATTAATCGTAGACTAAGCTCTTGAATAATATCTACTTATACTACGTACGCTACTATACTTATTACTATAGATCGCCTATTCTATAGCTCTAGTAGATCTTCTTTATCTTCGTCTTTATCTAAGCTAACGTCTCTATTACTACTAGCACTAGTAGCTTACCTGTCTAGCTACTTAGTATAGCCTATAGTAAAGCGCTCCTCTACTACCTCTTGCCTAATTTCTATAGCTAGCTGCTAGTACTTAGCTATTATAAGCCGCGATTCTAGCTACTCTACTATCTCTGCTATTATAATACGCGTAAGCTAATTAGTATCCTACGGCTTACTATAGCTTGCCTATAGATAGTTAATTACTAATGTAGTAGCTGCCTTACCTAGGCTGCTAAGGAGCATCGCACGGACGGGCCGTAGATAGAGTAGATACGCTGTAACTAGCTGCCCTACTACCTTAGGTAGAAACCGCGCTACTATTTTAGGCTTATCCTACTATACCTACGTCTTATAATAGCGAGTAACTACTACTATCTAGCTATCTATAACGTAGAGATTATAGTCTTATAGTATGCTATTACGCTAGCGTATAGAGAGCAGCTCTGGCCTATAAGCTAGCTAGCCGCCTATAATGTAAATAGTAAGGTAAAGAAGCTCTAGAAAATAATCTATCTATTTAAGATATCGTCGGACAGCTTAAGGCCTCTACTCTATAGTCTAATCTAGTAGATAGCTACTACTTATTAATAGTTGCTCTAGCTGCTCTGGCTGCTTTAGCTGCTCTGGCTGCTCTGGCTACTCTAGCTACAGTCCTACGCGCTGTTAATAGAGCTTCTGCGCCTTAGCTACTCTAGCTAATCAATCTAGCACCTACGTTTACTCTTACTATAGCTATAACCGCGATAGGTAGTATACGCTACGCTACTAGATAGATACGTCGTCTTGTATCTTAGCTAGCCTAGTCGTCGGCTAATACTTCTACTTGCTTATCTATAGCAGCTCTTCCTACAGTACTTATTCTACCTTAGTAACGACACCCTACGTAAGCTTATAGAACTACTATAGTACGATAGGCTAGCCTTTAATATAGAACGTCTATTAATCTATTAACTACTATATACTACTAGCGATGCTACTAGGCGTACGTAGAGTAATAAACTTAGCGTATACTAGTAATCTTAGTATAGTGCTTATTAGGCTATATAAGCCGTCTACTAGATAGTAAGTACGCTACTTAAGAAAGCTATCTATCTTAGCAGTACTTTGCTTAGCCCGCTTCTCTACTAGGAGAAAGAGCTCTATCGTTAACGCCCGTATATAGTAGACGAGAGAGCTAAGTATAGGTAAGAACTTAGTAGTAGTACGTAGATAGCTAGTCTCTAGATAAATACTAAGCGCAGCGAGGAAATAGACTATCGCGCTAGTAAAGGGCTGCTAATAGATTTCCTAATAGATAAGAGCGTAAGACAGGCGTAGTACGTACGTACGCTACTTAGCTATTATTACTGCGCTACTATTGTAGTAAGATAGGTACTTCTAGAGCCGCTCTGCTGCTAGCTTCTACTTACTATGCTATAGGAAGAGACGAGTAATGCTGGCTAGCTCGGGCACTGCTGGAGCTGCTGGTGCTGCTGGTGCTGCTAGTGCTGCTAGCGTCTAGTCAACAGCTACTACACGGAGGCAGTAGCAGAGTAGCTGTGCCTATACTTGAGCTGCCCGCAGCTGGCTGGCCTTGTTTTGCATACGGCTGAACGGCCGTACGTTAGGCTCTTGAAGTTTTACACTGCGTAGTTAGCGCAGCGTATCGCGAGGGAGCGTACTAAGTCCCTGTACAGCCTTCTCTACTAGCTCTTCTATAAGCTGCACGACGCGCTGCAGCTGCGGCTCCTTTACTGCTGCTGGGAGGCGTATAGCGTACGATAGTAGCTGCTAATCTGAGTAGGCCTGTAGGTGCTCGTCCTACTGCGTCCGCTTGAACCAGCTAGTACGGTCTTTGGCATTAGCTTCTTCTGCTATACGCTCTATAGCCTCGCGGTTCTTGTGCTCGATAGCGTCGCACTTGGATGATAGATAGGCCAGCCGCTGGTGATAGCTCGCTGTCTGGTCTTCCTCTACTATCTCTTGCCCACGCTCCTGCTGCTGCTGCTGCTGCTCCTGTACGATAAAGTAGCGCTGATACTTTGGCTCGCGAAAGAACGTCTGCACTTGAATAGCCTTCTATAGCTGCGCAGCGTGCTTAGTATACGATGTAGCTAAGGTAGTAGACTAGCGAGTAAGCTTGATTTTATGCTGCTAGTTAACGTGCTACTGTATCTATTTCTGGCTCATAGTAATAAACCTATATGCTATATCGCAGCAGACTAGCGCGTCTTCTGGCTCGCTAAGCTCTAGTAACGGTGGTCTATAGGGAGTAGGCAGAGGCACTTAATCTGGCGATAGAAGAGAGAGGCTACTATACTTATTAAGTAGTACTTTTCTAGCTTCTATTAGTAGCTTATAGTACCGCTTAAGATGCTCGTCCACGCTATAGATAGCACGCTGATGGTCGCGGTAGATAAGAATATTATAGCTAGATAGATAAGTAAGTATAGTTATTATAGCTATAGTAAGTGCGCTATTCTCTCTTCTCTCTCTTCTATATATACTATAATAAAAAAAGATAGCTAGTAGCTTAGGGTTAGAGTAGTCTTAGCTAATCAGCGATCATTCCAGTGAGCCCCCGCTGATCACTCCAGTGAGCCCCCTCGGTAGTGCGCACGGTACACTAGTAGGTCTAAGCATAGCTCTAGTGAGACCCCGGGGGCTCACTAGACGTGTACTTAGGGGTTAGGCTTTTATAGTTATAGATAGCGAAATCTAAGAGAACAGTCTCTATATACCGTAGAAGAAGATCTCTTACTTTTTAACTTATCCTATTCTTTAAAGCCTTATTAGAAGATTCTTCTACTAAACTATAATTATTATAGATATTTTTAATAGTTTTAGTTATTTCTTTAGTAGCGCTTCTTCTATTCTTGCCTATACAAGCCTCTTCTAAGAGTTTATTATTATTTTAAAAGAACGGCTGGCCTTTAGCCTATACTAGGTTGAAGTGATAGCTTTCGCGCGTTTTCTAGAAAGCGCTCTACTAGTTAGAGCTCTTAAGGTGCAAACTGCTAGTTTACGCTAGATATTCAGTCTATAGTTAAATTCCTTAATAGAGAGTCTTAATTCTAGCTAGCTTTAAAAAAGCTTTAGTATCTTTAGTAGGGTAACGTAGTAGCCAATTTAGGAAGACTATAGTAATACCTCTTAGTTTAATTTAGTTAAAGACAAATTTTAGCATAACTAGGAAATTAAATTATAGCTTCTAGTAACTAGGGAGGTTTTTATATAAGAAGATTTAAAAAGATCTTTCGACTACTTAAGCCTAAAACTTGCCATTATTAACTAAGTTCTATAAAGATTCTATATTCTACTCCTAGGTTATAACTAGAAGTTAAATACTAAATAGCTTATAACTAGTTAGTTTATTCTTTGTAGAAGCTAGTTTAGAGCTAGCATGTTCTATTCTGAAAATAAAAAACGAATAGAAGAGAGATAGTTATTATAAAAAGTATATTACTATAATTCTTAAGGGCTTTTAGCTAAGATTTAATCTGTGTAAATTACTCATCGCCCCTCGTAAAGTCACCTATGTTACTCGACCACCTCTATAGCCTATAGCCTTGCACTAACTACTATATTTATAGCTGAGAGTATTATATAAAACTAGAGGCATTACTAAATATTATATATAACTATAGCCTAAAACACTTCTTTTATATACTTTAGACTTTAAGAATGTATATAAAATCTTCTTAGGCCTTTTTTCTAATTATAATTGTCTGTTCGCACGTCTTTATAGGCGAGCCCGCGCCTTTCTTCTAGAATCTATAGGTAGTAAAGCTAATTATGCCGTTAAATAGTAATTAAAACTACTAAGGTCTAGGTTAAGGTTAGTAATCCTTTCTTTATAAGAGCTATTATAGGAATATAACTTATTACGAAGCTTATATAACTTATTATACTAGAAGTATAGTAATATTTTAGTATATTAGCTCTTACTTAAATAATTCTAAGCGATAGCTTATAGTATATATATAGAATCTATAACTCTACTAATATAACTAGCGCTAGTATACACAATCCTAGCGCAGCTTATTTAGAAGGCTCTTACTAGATATTATTTTTATATAATAATAGAGAAATATAGATTATTATATAGAGCTAGAAAGAAAACTACGTACGTATACGTAAGGGTTAAGAGAGTAAACTTATAAATTTCTATAATATTAATTAAAGCTACTCTTTCGATATTTCTACTTTTCTTCTAGGGGCAGATACTATAATCTTCGTATAGTAAGTTAGAATATTCTATTATAGTGCGCTACTAACTTTATAGGACCTAGCTAAATTTATCTAGTAATTAAGAATTCTATATATTCTACTTACCTATCTAGTTAATAGTATTATAATCTTTAATGAAAATACTATCTAGATATCCTATATATATTGCGAACCTCTAGAAGAGTCTAGAAATAGTAGACGTAAAGAATCTAACCTAGTCTAAGTGCTATATTCCGCAAAACGTGTAGATTCGCTACTCTTAGCGATATAGAGGCATTAACTAACTAATTATAGCTAATTGTCACGGTTCGGGCTCACAGGCAGAAAGGACAGGCACGTGTACAGGGTATATTGCTACAGCTAATCAANAGGCTCTCGCTACAGGTAGTAAGAGTAGAAGACAGGACGTAGCTCAAAGAGCTCTCTAGACTGCAGTGCTGCAGTTTTGTAGAATCCGGGTGCTCGGGCCCGCAC